ATATATATATATATGTATGTATATGTATATATATATTTGAATAGAACAAAAAAAACTAATTAAAAAGGAACAAAATAAGGCTATGTTTTTTTCTAAATTCAAATTTACACGCCTAATATCATAACCAAAATAAAATGTAGATATCATTTAATATTAATTGACCAATTTAATGTTAATTGACTATTCTTTTTTAACTGGTCAATGTTTATATACCAAGAAATTAATATAATCACCTGATATATGTATTTAAGAGTACATCTTATAAATATACTATTTTATTATTAATTGCTAAGAATAAAGGTTTAATTACAAGTCATAACTATTAAATTAAATTATACTTAGTTTTATTTATTTATTAGGATAATTCCATATTTATCTTTCTCTTCAATCTAACTACCACCTAATTCAACTACCAAAGTTGACCAATAGACTAAATCTAGTCAAACTTAATAAACTTGATTTTATCTAGATTTTATTTTAATCAAAATCATTAATGATTAATATCCCTATAAAATGTAGCTAAAATAAAAAAAAAAATTACTACAAAACAATCAACAATGAGTTTGATAAAAAACTTTTGCATTTTGCTCCTCACATTATATATTGTTAGTATCACTCCAGAAGCAACAAAGGTTGACAGCGACGCACGTTTTGAGGTTCATATTATTAATGATCTCCCCGATAATAATATACCTCTGTGGATACACTGTAAATCGAAAACTCATGATTTTGGAAATCGATTACTTAAAGTGGAGGATGATTTTACTTTTTGGTTTAAGTTGAATCTTTTTGAAACCAATCTTTATTTTAGTCATTTTTGGTGGGGTAAAAAACACAATGTGTTCGATGTTTATAATAGGCACTTAAAAAAATATTGCGCTAAACCCCAACCCACGACGGATATCCGTACTTGTTACTGGAAAGTACAAGAAGATGGATTTTATTTGGGTGCTAATGCTGATATTACTGAGAAAATGCATGATTGGCTATAATAATATTTGAATTTATTGGGATTTTATTTGATTCTTGTATTATATGATTCAGAATTTATAATTTTCAATCTTCAATTAATTAAAAATAATATGTGTTATTACTGGTCTCTTTATGTAAGAAATATGTTATATATTTAATTATGTCATGTACATAGACTTTTCAGTAAACGATGTTGATATTTATGAAATTAATTGTTAATAAAATTAGGGGCAAATCCTTTTTCTCAACGTAGATTTGTGCTCTAATTTTACTAGTTATAGAATTATGTTATTGTCAAATTAACATAAATTTTAATCAAAATTAACTTATCAAAAAAGTAATTAAGTATTCAAACGGTTATTAATTATGTTAAATTTACAAACAAATGGATTAAATTTCATAATTTAATTAATTGAAAGATTAATATGATATTATAGGAAGTAAAATAAGAATTTATCGATAATTAAGAGAACAAATATATCAAACACAAATTATTTATCACCAAAAGTTCAATAATATGATTTTAACATATTTGATCTCTTAGTTATTCTATAAGATCTAAATAAACATATTAAACTTTCAATTAGTTGAGTTGTTAATAACCTGTTTGACTAGATTTTTTGAAAAGCCAAATAAATAAAATAAAGTCTTTGGTCAAACTTTTTTAAAAAAGTAATTAGCTTTTCACTTAAAACACGAATTCAACTTCAAAAATTAAATCTAAAATAACTCAATATTTACATTGAAATTGTAAAATAATATCACGTAAATTTTCAAAAATGATTAATCAAATCATTTAGCTATCGCCACCATCATTACTATCGACGAACATCAAGCATTACTCTCAATACTACCATAACTACACACCAGCTCCTATCATCATTAGCGAGCATAAATATTTTATTTTCTTATTAAATAATGATTTTATGTTGTTAGGTTTATACTTTTTTTTAAAAAAAAACATGTTTAATTTCTTATGTATTAACTGTTGTTAGGTTTATATATATATATTTTTTTTAAAAAAAACATGTTTAATTTTTTATGTATTAAATTGTATATTTATTATGTTTATAAGCAAATAAATTATACATATTCAAATATTGAAAAGTAAATAATTTGTTTTGGTTCAT